AGGGGGCGGCGGCGGCAGCCGCCCCACCTGGATGGACTGGAGGGGATGGCAGAGCAGCCACCCCCAGCACCATGCCTGATACACCTAATCCCAAGTTCTCCATTTGCAGCTCTTCATTAGGCTCTTAATGAGACTGGTGCCATTCACAAGGGCTGTGGCTGTAGTGTCTGCAGAGCGAAGCAAGGATGGAGAGCAGATTTCATTCTGGGCAGCTTCGGCTCTGTTTAATCCTGACTGCATAGATTCATCCAGGGAGACCGTGCCCGTGTGGAGTAGGGGCATGCTCACACCATGCTTTGAACCAAGTGCTGGGGAAGAAAGCTGGGGGATGCAATGCCATGTTAAAAATAATAAGGAAATGAGAGAGACCTTCTTCCTTTTTCCTGTTTAATAAAAGGCCAAAGGCTTCTCCCATCTGCCTCGTCCCACATGTCCCTCCAGGTCCATGTGCTGTGTGAAGCACAGCACATTCTAGTGGGGCAGGACACTGGCAGATGTGGGGCTGGTGGAGCACATGGGGGTCTGGCTTCATCCCTGGCTCCTGCTGGCATGGGGACAGTGCCCTGCAGTGTCCTGCTTCCCTGGGGAACAGCCACAGGGCTTTTCTGCCCTCACTCCTAGGGTCTTCACTCCAAAGGTAGCCTGGGTGGAGTCGGAGTCACCCAGCAAGCTGAAGCTGCATCGCTGTCCAAAATAAAACTGTCCCTGGGTGCTGGCAGAGCTCTCCGGGTGCCAGTGCATCTGGCAATGTCCATCACAGCCGCTTTACGTAAACGCCTGCAGCCGGTGCCGCTGATTTCTCAAAGCCCCTCAGAGCTCCAGGTCTTCCTCCCCTGATCCGGATTACCTGGTGCAGACGGCATTAATCCGAAGCCAGGCGCCTCGGCGGCTGCTTGGAATTATTGCCACGCTGTTAAGTAACAGGAGGGAGCAGTGCTGGCAGAAGGGGGTCTACAACAGGCTGGGGGTCACCAGCCCAAAATAAAGCAGGCTGTCCAACTTCTTGGTGGCCCCAGCCATGTGTTCCTCTTGAGGCTGGGAGCCCAGGAGGAAGCCTTGGCAGGGGCTTTTGGCACATCTGTGCCAGCAGGCTTGGGCACACAGTGGTGGAGGACAGCCCCTTTGCATTGAACTCTTGGCTGCAGGGTTTGGCTTGTGATGCCAAGGGCAGCAGACAGCTGGGCACATGGTTTGGCACAGCACTCCATCCTCATCCTCCTCAGGCAGGAACCCCCTGTCCTGAATCCTCTTCAGGGCAACCCTGCTGCTCTAGGGCACCCTGGTAGCAGACAGTGGCTGCTGCTCATCTGTAATTAACTGGTGCTAATCACCCTGGCGCAGGTCAAGCCACCTCCACGTGCATGGCCTGCTCGCTCCTGGCCAATGAAGAGAAAAACCTCTTGGTGTGCACCCAGGAGCTTCAGGGAGCCCCGATGCTGTTCGCAACCCCATGCTGCTGGGAAAAGCCTCCCTCCTGCCTGACCCCTTCCAGGGAGCTCCTGAACCCCACTTCCCTTCTTGCTGCAGGCTCAAATGGGGTGACACAAATGCCAGTGTGGGCGCCTGGCTCGCTCAACCGCCCAATGCCCACAGCATCTCCATCTCTGCTCAAAGTTCAGCTGCAGTGCAGGCAGAGAGGTCCCCAGGAGCAGGCAACTCACGCCCACCACCCCAAACACAGTTCATGGTCTTGCTGTCCCACACCACTGGCAGTCCCTTCTCCCGGTGTCCTGCCTGAGGGACGGGGCTCTGCCCACT